TTTCCTTTTGATTAAATTAAAATAAAAAATTTAATAATAAAATGCTTTCATTAATTTTGACATTATTAAAATATTTCTTTAATAACAAAATTATGAATATAATCAAAATAATAATGAAATTTAATACACTTGAAATAGTAATAATAATAATTCTAGACTTTTATTAATTAACGAGAATATTAATAACTTTTAACATAAAACGGGAAATTATAAAATAAAACTTTATAATGTCTATTAAAATCTAGAACAGTAAACGTGGTATTAAAATTCTAAACAGAAAATAATGATATTAAAAAAAGGGTTTATTAAAGCAATTTTTCTCAATGTAAAGAAATTTTAATATGAAAATTGTACTGAAAAAAAATTTATTTGATTCAAATATTCGGTTACTTGACTATTATCAAATAAATATTTATTTCTATCAAATAATTATTATTTGAGTCAATTAAATGATATTTGTTTCAAATACAGAAATTATTGGTTCAAATACAATTTATTTGATTCAAATAAATATTTATTTGATAATAGTCAAGTAGTCGAGTATTTGAATTAAATAAAAATTTTTTCAGTGTATTAATTTATTTTTAAAAACATTAATTAAAGATGAATAAATAAATATTATTGCCTGTATGTTTTTGAAAAAAAAAAAAAATTTTTAATTTAACGGGAATCGAATACAGCGTCTTTCTATTTACCGGTTAAAGGCTCAAACCACTATGCTATTTTATCTTTTTTTTTTGTTTTTTTAATTTATTTTTTTTTAATATTAATAATCTATAAAATCAATTCAAGTATTTTCGTGTCAAGCTTCTCGATTTCAGAAAATATTAACGAAACTTTAACAAAATTTTTGAAAGAACTTGCACCTAAACTTTTATGCATCTCTACGTGTATATTGGAAAATTTTCAAACTGTAACTAAATTTTCATAAATCTTCCACTATAAAGTTTTACAAGTTTTCAAAAAAAGAATAAAAAATCTTTCAAAAAACAATAATAGAGATAATGATAAATTACTTTGTTAATTTTAATTTAATTTATTAATTTCAATTTCTTAATTTAATTTTTTAATTTTCTTTTAATTTTAGTTATTGATATTACTTAGTTACTTGATATTTTTAAATTAGTGTGAACCCAGGTTTTTTTACTAAGAAATAAAAATATACACGGAAAAAATTTTCCACCAGGAATAGAGATAAGTTTCACTAAAACAGCGAAAGTTTTCATTATTCTAGAGAAACATATCGCTATTTTAGATAAAAAAAAAAATTTCATTTTTTTAAAATGAATTATAAACAATTAAGATAAAATCATTTTCTTGTTCGTATATACACATATAATACAACTGAAAGTTTCCGTGTACATTGTACACATTATATATTGACATTTTGACTTTTGCTCGTAAATTGAAATAAATTGCCCGTATTGGCATACAAATAGAAGGAGTCCATAAAGTCGAAGAAGCTGTTTAATTACTCGGACGTTCAAGCATCACTGGGGCAAAGCGTTTAAAGTTCCTGAACCCTCGTGATGGTTAGAGGGCATGTTCGTAGTTTCATGTGCCGAGGCAGTAGTAGCACACAACGCAAAGTGAAATTGGAATTGTTCTGCGTATCCTGATTAATGGATGCTACGAACGTGCCAACTATGTGTGTACTTTCCAGCATCGTTTTATCTTTATCTCATCTCCCTCTTTCTCTCTCTCTCTCTCTCTCTCTCTCTCTCTCTCTCTCTCTCTCTCTCTCTCTCTCTTTCTCTCTCTGTTACTCTTCTTCTTTTTAATCACTTTTTTTTCATTTTCTCCATGAAATCGAAAACTATCATTAACAACACTCCTGCGGCTTCCACTAATGCCGATTCACTGCGTCTAAACAACCTCAACTTTTTATGCACAACAATAAACCCAAATAACCATAAAAAAACGACCTAGTCATAAAATTTAAAATGACTTCCTTTTTTTATAGATGTGAAAGTAAATTTTAATTTTTTAACAGCGCATACATTTGCTCTATTATTTCAATTTCATATATACACTGAGAAAAAAGGTTTCAGCTGACAACCAAATATTTCATTTAATATATGTGCAACTAAAATTTTTTGGTTGACACAACTAAACTTTAGTTGACATCAACCAAAGTTTGGTTGAGACTACCAAATTCTTTTTCATTTTCTTATTTAGTCGTCTGAAACAAACTTTGGTTGTTGTCAACTAAAGTTTAGTTGTGTCAAACAAAAAATTTTAGTTGCACATATATTGAATGAAATATTTGGTTGTCAGCTCAAACCTTTTTTCTCAGTGTATAATAAAACATCCTGCGCTTCATTAATATTTTATATCCTAAGATATTTTTCAAAAAGGACTTTTTAACTTTTAATCTTGTTTTACACTTTGAAACAAAAAAAAAAAAAAAAAAAATGATTAAACTTGTTGCTGTACGACAAAATTGAATTATTGTAAATTACACTTTTAAGGAAATGAACTAAACGCAATATATAAAATGCAGTGAGCATAAAAAAAATCCATTTCAAAAAGGTTTCAAAGTCTTCAATTTGTAAAGTTAGGATAGTCCATGAACCCTTTCAGAGTTGTTTAACTCAATATATGTAGACGGGGTAAAAAAAATATATATAGAGAGAGAGAGAGAATGAAGAACTTATTCTGAGATTACTTTACACTGTACCGTATGAGTAAAACAAATTTATTTTATCAAGCAAGTTACTCTCGAGCCATTAGACCAAATAATTTATTATTATAACATCTATTGATTATTTAAAGTAAAATAAAAATATTTCTTTAGATCAATAATTTTTTAAATATATATATATATATATCAACATTTTTTTAAAAAGACAATTTTTTTTGTTGCATGAAAACTTTACGTCAAATAATTTTTAATTGGAACAATCACGTTTAGTCGGACAAGTAATTTTTAAGTAGAAAAAAATTGTTTCGAAACACATGTAATTTTCAAGTAGAATAGAACTGTTTTTGGCAGACAAGTCCCTTTTAGGTAAATATATTTTTTTAGTTAGACAAGTCAATTTAAAGTGGAACAAAATAGTGATGCTAAACAAGTAACGGCCAAGTAGTAGAAAATTATTATGACAGAAATGTGATTTAAAATTTTTTTGAGTAAGACAAGTCGTTTTCAAGATGAAAAAAATTTGTTATGTCAGATATATCATTTTAAGTAGAAAAAAAAATTATATTGTCCGACAGGTAATTTAAGTAGAACAAACTCGTTTAGTGAGACAAGTAACTTTCAAGTAGAAAAAAATTGTATAGACAGACAAGTAACTTCCAAGTACAAAAAATTGTACAGTATAAGACATTTCATTTTTCAAGTAGAAAAACCTGTTTTTGTCAGGCAAGTCTCTTTTAAGTAGAACAAAATTGTTTAGTCAGACAAATAACTTTTAAGTAGAATAAAATTGTATAATCGAACAAGTTGTTTTTAAATAGAATAAAAATTAATTGTCAGACAGATAGTTTAAGTGGAACAAACACGTTTAGTCAGACAAGTAAAATTTAAAGTAAAATATAATTCTACAGTCAGACAAGTAACATTCAAGTAGAACAAAATGGTACAGTCAGACAAGTCGTTTCCAAGTAGAATGAAATTTTATAGTCAGCCAATTCATTTTTAAGTAGAACAATACTGTTTTGTCAGACAAGTTACTTTTAAGTAGAACAGAAATACTTAAAATCAGAAAGTTAATTTTTTTTTTGAATAAATATTTATACGCAGACAAATTATTTTTAAGTAGAAACAAAATTCGTTTAATAATACACGTAACTTTCAAGTAGAACAAAATTATATAGTCAGACAAGTCGTTTTCAAGTACAACAAAATTGTATAGTCAGACAAGGAATTTTTAAGTAGAATAAAATTGTGAAGCCAAACAAGTAACCTACGAGTAGTACAAAATTATATAGTCAGACATGTCGTTTAAGTAGAACAAACTCGCTTAGTCAGACAAGTAAGTTTTTATGTAGAAAAAAAAATGTACAGTCAGACAAGTCACTTTTATTTAGAAAAAAATTCTTTTATCCAACACGTCATTTTTAAGTAGTAAAAAATTATTTAGTCAGACAAGAAAATTTAAAGCGACACAAATTTGTTGAGTCAAACAAAAAATTTTCAAGTAGTAAACAAATTTTTTAGTCAGTCACGTAATTTTTAAGTAGAACAAAGCGGATTTCATCAGACAAATCCTTGTCAAGTAGAACGAAATTTTGTTACTATAAACGTTATTGAAACTAGAACAGAATATTTTAAGAAATATAATTGTTAACCAAAACAATATTATTCTTTGAGAAAAATTTTAAAGAAAAAAAAAAACAATATTTATAAAAATCGAAAATATATCATAAAAAAATTGTTTCTTATAATTTGCAAACTGTATCGTTAATGCACCACAACGGCAAAATATTACCACGATAGTAAATCTAAACTATAATTTAGAACAAAAACAAATCGATATTAAATTAGTACACTCGATGTTGAAATACAACGACAATACACACTTACAAATACACTTACACCACTACAGACATTTTCCTTCTATACCTGACACTACAGAACCTTTCCCAAACCACTAAGGGACAAGTCAGTCTGGTCCTAGCCGTCAAAAAGGACACCCACTAAAATCATTCACATTCGGAACTATTGTCACGCGTTCAATTAACACATTATAGAATCACGTGTATACCTTTTTATTCGTACAGCTAATTGAATAAATGTATAACTTTAATATGTTGTGTTTCACTGTGTTTTATACCTTTGAATTATTTATCCAATGTATTAAAGATTCCCAACAGGTTATGGGCCCAGGATTTTAATGTGTTAAATAATAAAGTGTGTTGAAAATTAAAGACAGTGAACAAAGAAATCAAAGTGTAATATATAAATATGAAACAGTATTTACAAAACTAGAGACTGTGAATTATCAGAACAGTGCGTGACAGTTAGTGTAGTGAATTGATTTCAAGTTTTAAAAATGTCAGATTTTTTAAGGACTGTTGTACAGAAACTAAATGGAGATAATTATTCTGTATGGAGTAAAAAAATTGAACTTTTACTCATCAGGGAAGATTTGTGGGAAGTTGTTAAAGAGGAACCACCAACACCCGAAGATTCAACATGGGCAAAGAAAGACAACCGTGCGCGTGCCACTATTGGACTGCTTATCGAAGACAACCAATTAGTGCACATCGAGGATGCAACAACAGCAAAAGAAGCTTGGGAGAAACTTAAGCAACATCACCAAAAGGCATCAAGGTCAAATATTATATATTTGTACAAAAAGTTATTTAAATCAGCTTTGCCCGAAGATGGAAACATGGAAGAACACATTTCAGAAATTCTAACTCTAATAAATAAATTGACGGCATTAGGTGAGGTATTAAAGGATCATTTAAGGGCAACTATTTTACTAAGTAGTCTTCCAGACTCTTACAGCGCTTTGATTACAAGTTTAGAAAGTCGAAGTGAAACAGATTTTACTCTGGATTTTGTTAAAGGAAGATTAATCGACGAATACAGCAGAAGGAAAGATAATAAAATTTCGGAAAAGAATGAAGAATCTGCTTTAAAGGTAAACCACAAACAGAACTTCCAAGGGAAAGATAGAGAAACAAGGCATTGTTTCTTCTGTAAGAAACCCAATCACGTTAAAAAGGAATGTTTCAAATACAAAAAATGGAAAGAAAAGCAGGATAAAGAAGATAAAGCTAATAAAGTTTCTGAATGTTTGGATGAATTCAATGAATTTTGCAAACTGGTAAGGGAAGAACATTCGGATCAAGAAATTAAGGGAAAAACATGTTTAAGTGCAAGTGAAATAAAAAGTGATAAAGATTGTTGGTACGTGGATTCGGGAGCAACGAGTCATATGACAACTTCGAAGGACACATTTGATGACTACGATCCCAGTGTTAAAGGTTTTGTGCAATTAGCAGATTCTGGGAAAAGTTGTGAAGTGAAAGGTAAAGGCTCGGGAACCATAAAGTGTATTGTGGACGGATATCTTAAGGAAATAAAAATTCACAACGTCCTCTACGTGCCATCTTTAAGTTCAAACTTGCTGTCAGTAATAAAATTAACAAAAGAAGGATACAGCTTAAACTTCGAGGAAAACAGTTGTAAAGTAATTAAGGAAGGGAAAGTGCAAGCCGTGGCTTATTCTGAAATCGGCGCCAACGGTTTGTACAAAATAAAAACGGACGCAGACAAAGCTTGTATCGTAAAAAATAAATTGAACGGAAAGCATGGAACAGATTGTCAACACGTTTGGCACAGGATTCTTGGTCATCGAGATCTGCAAGCAATTAAGGACCTTTCCGAAAAGGGGCTGGCAGTTGGCATCAGCGTTAAGGATTGCGGGATACAAGAGGTATGTGAATGCTGCGTAAAAGGAAAAATGGCAAGGAAACCTTTTCCAAAGGAGTCTCAAGGAAGAACTATGGAAACTTTTGACCTGCTACACACCGATGTTTGTGGGCCAATACAAACAGTCACTCCAAGCAAGAAAAGGTATATAATAACCATTATAGATGATTACTCAAGATATTCGACTGTACGTTTTATGGAGCACAAAAATGAGGCAGGAAATATAATAAAACAATTTGTAGAAATGGTAAAAACTCAATTTAACAAAACTCCTAAATGCATCAGATCGGATCGAGGAAAGGAATACGTAAATCAGGATTTGCAAAATTATTTGAAAAACAAAGGAGTAAAGTTGCAATATACAGTATCGTATTCACCCCAGCAGAACGGAGTCGCAGAAAGGAAAAATAGATCACTTTTGGAGATGGCAAGATGTATGATGTTAGATGCAAATCTGGAGAAAAAGTATTGGGCTGAAACAGTTAACACTGCAAACTTTTTGCAAAACAGATTACCCACAAGAATCACAGCGAAAACTCCTTATGAATTAATGTATTCCAACAAACCAGATTTGAAGAATTTGCACATTTTCGGATGTGATGCATATGCGCAAATTCCTAAGGAACTACGTCGGAAATTAGATGATAAGGCAGAAAAACTTACTTTCATCGGCTACTCTGAAGAATCAAAGGGATTTCGACTTCTGGACAAGAAAACAGACCGCATTAAAGTGAGCAGAGATGTCATTTTTCTCGACAAGAATCAGCAAGTGAAGAATTCAAATGAAGCGGAATTAATCATCTCGGAAGAAAAATTCAGTGAAACAACAGAAGAGGATAAAATTGATAACAACATAAGTGAAACTGAAAGTTCAAGCAGCGATGATCAAAATGACACTCAACCTACGGAACCCAGGAGATCAAGAAGAATCAACAAAGGTGTACCTCCTGAAAGATTTATGGCCTCTTCAAATTTAGCAACACAGAAGATCAATGACCCAAAGAGCAGAAATGAAGCGTTATCAGGATCAAACAATCAAGAATGGCAAAAGGCAATGGACGAAGAAATTTCATCACTATCGAAAAACAAAACATGGGATATAGTGCCAGCACCAGAAGATAGGGATATCGTCACCTGTAAATGGATTTTTAAATCTAAACAAAATCAAGAGGGAAAAACCACAAGATACAAAACCAGACTCGTAGCCAGAGGTTTCTCACAAAAGTACGGAACGGATTACGACGAGGTCTTCGCTCCAGTGGTAAGACAAACAACATTCAAGATCCTTTTGGCAATAGCAGGTCAAGAAAATTTGATAATAAAACATTATGACGCGAAAACAGCATTTTTAAATGGGGATTTAGATCAAACGATTTACATGACACAACCAGAGGGTTATGAAATTTTTAAAGATAATGTAAAATTGGTATGCAAATTAAAGAAAGGGTTATATGGTTTAAAACAATCCGCGAAATTATGGAATGAAAAATTAAATTCAATTCTGTTAAATTTCAAGTTTTTGCAGAGTCAAACAGATTCTTGCTTTTATATAAAGAGAACTAAAGAAAATGTAATTTTTGTGATTATTCATGTCGATGACTTTTTAATTGCTTCGAAATCAATTGAGAAAATAAACGAAACAGCTGAGTTTTTAAAGGGAAAATTTCAATTGTTAGATTTGGGATTTTTGCATTGTTATCTCGGTATTGAAGTAAGAAGAAACTCGGATGGTATATATTGTATTAAACAATCACAATATATCGACAACATTTTGAAGAGATTCGGCTTAGAAGATGCGAAAATTTCCAACATTCCATTGGATCCAGGATATATCAAGATCGACAAGGAAGACCAACCAATAATGGAAGAGAGCGAGAAATATCAGCAATTAATTGGTGCATTATTGTATTTAGCCGTTAATACAAGACCAGATATCACAGCCAGTGTTATAATACTCAGTCAGAACAACAAGCACCCGACATCAGCTGACTGGACGGAAACAAAGAGAATCGGTCGCTACCTGAAAGGGACGAGGGACTACGAATTGATCTTAGGACAACGAGGAAAAGAAGAAGGACTGGTGGGATACGCAGATGCAGACTGGGCGGAAAATCGTAAAGACAGAAAATCAAACAGTGGTTACCTGTTCAAGTATTTAAATGCCACAATTAGTTGGGGATGCCGTAAACAAACTTGTGTCGCGCTATCATCAACTGAAGCAGAATACATCGCATTGGCAGAGGCATGTCAAGAATGTATATGGATACGTCGATTGTTGGAAGATTTTTTAAATTACAAACAAGGACCAACAACAATTTTCGAAGACAATCAAAGTTGTTTGAAATTTTTAAGCAACAAGAAGTTCAGCCATCGCACCAAACACATCGACACAAAATTCCATTTTGTAAAGCAGTTAAAGGAAAACAGGACATTAAATTTTGAATATTGTCCTACTGATCGGATGTTGGCAGATATGCTCACAAAACCCTTGAGCAGAATAAAACTAAGGACTTTGGCAGAAGGATGTGGATTGACAACGCAATCAAGTGTGCATCATCGTTGAGGAAGGGTGTTGAAATACAACGACAATACACACTTACAAATACACTTACACCACTACAGACATTTTCCTTCTATACCTGACACTACAGAACCTTTCCCAAACCACTAAGGGACAAGTCAGTCTGGTCCTAGCCGTCAAAAAGGACACCCACTAAAATCATTCACATTCGGAACTATTGTCACGCGTTCAATTAACACATTATAGAATCACGTGTATACCTTTTTATTCGTACAGCTAATTGAATAAATGTATAACTTTAATATGTTGTGTTTCACTGTGTTTTATACCTTTGAATTATTTATCCAATGTATTAAAGATTCCCAACACTCGATTTGTGATATATGCATCTACAATCTTTGTAATCAAGAACAACAAAAGCAGAGCGTGACAACAACCTCTGTAATATAATATGAATATAACCGTCTTTTGTTGTCCCCAACAATATATTTCCTGTTAACTTCATTACATCACATAGTGATACCACAATGGTAAATCACTTCTCTACTATTGACTTTATACATTTAAAGCGTTAATTGTATTCAAAGATATGTCCGATTTTGTGAGAATGAGAGGACATGAAGTGATGAAACAGAGAGATAGAGAGGGGGGGGGGTTGAGAAGAAAGTGAGTTAGGGGGAATTTCACCAACAAGCATTATCATGCATGAACTCCACTTACCACTGACTTGACAATATTAGTTGGAAGCTTCGAATATTTCGATCGATCTTCCCCCCCTCCCCCCCTCAACCATTTCCCGAGACAACTACCCTTGTAAAGGCTCGCCCCAGACATGGATATTGACAATGTTTCAGGCTTTCGTGAGCATTTCCGTATACATCACACGTTCCCCAATATGGGAATGACATTTAATTAGAATTTATGTGTCATTGCACAATAACCAAAAGCTTTCCAATTTATATAGTTGATCTATTTCTCCAAATCGAAAATAAACTTCTACACAAAGCCGCATTTAATAATTCGATACAATTATTATAATAATTCAATTAAAAATTTTTAAACAAAAAGTTATTAATAATTTAATAATTTTTTAACAAAAAGTTATTAATATTTTAATAATTTTTTCGATCACTTATTCTTAAAAAATATTTTCTAATTCTTTTTTCCTTAAAAAAAAAAAATTCTAATGAAATCATTCTTCTAAAAAAAATTTTTCTAACAATTTTTCATTTCTAAGACATATATATATTTTTTAATAAATCAACATTTCTAAAATAAATTTGTTTAAATAGTTAATTTCCAATATGATCTTTTTCCTTATCGTTGAAAATAATATAAATATCTATTTATTTGTACCAAATTTTCTTTGTGAGTTTTAATTAGTTTTATAACCATTTTTCATTTCTTTATATTTATTACAATTTTAAATTTTTTAATGTTCGATTTTTTTTTAATAAGCACTTTTTTTGAGAAAATTTTTATTTCAAAGTTTCTTTTTTTGCATTTTATAATAATGGTGAGAAAAGTTATTCGGTCTATTATCTCGCGAAACTGATCTATCGTCAAAAGTTCATTATTATTAGGGTCAAAACTCTTATAATTCCCCGCACTGTCTTACACATTAACTGTGTACATATTCATGATGAAAGTATCTTTTTTTTAATGGAAAGTGTCTTAAGTCTTTTTCTTTTTTTTTCTCAAAAAAAAAAAAACGTGAATAGAAGAAAGTTGAAATTTCATTATGATCGTTTCTAACTTGTGGTAGATTTGAAATTTAAATTTTTGCCAAGCATCGCGAATAAGATTTTATAAATAAATTAAAAACTTGAAGTAATGATTTTCAAACATTCAAATTAACTCAATGTTGTTGTAAAATTACATTAGAACTAATCGGTATATTTTATTTTTAAATGCGACAGAAAATAAATGTTTTGAAATTTGCCCGCGAGGATTTAAAAAAAAATTGTACATATTTTTAATCCATCACAACTATTTCTTTTGTAGGGGAGAAAAATTTCTTTTTCAAAAAAAAAAAAAAATGAGAGAAAAAATCCCTCATGATTAGAAAATGCAAAAAAAAATTTTTATCATTCGTATTTTTTTCCTTTTTTAATCCCAATAAAATGTTGTATGTAAAACATTTTTCTAAGCGGAAAATTTTATTCTAAAAAAAAACAATTCTCTAAAAAGCCAACCCTTTTTTTTTATTCAATTCCGCAATAAAATGTTGAATAGAAAAAAGTTTTGCTAAAAGCAGAATGTTTGTTTTCAAAAACCCCAATTTCCTAAAAAGCAATGTAGAAAAAAAATTCGTTTACCGAATGAAGAAGTTGATATTTCCCAGAGGGTCAGTCGTTTCTTTATTTTAAAATAAAGTCTAAAGAGAATAAAAAATTATAAAAAATAAGAAGAAAAATATAGTCTGGACGCAATGTAGAAGATATATTTTGTTAAATATATATTTTTTATATTCTTTAGAGAAAAAAAAGGTATACGTATTTTTTTGTTTTCAAAAAAGTACCCAAATTTTCGTATTACAAATTTTCAAAATTTTGGTTTTTTCAATGTTTCAATATTTTTGGTTTTTTCAAAGACTCTGAAATTATTGAATTTAACAAACTTTTCCCGAGAAAAGAAAAGTTTTATTTTTTCTTCGACTTTTGAATAATGTTAAAAAAATTTTTTTAATTTTGTTAAAAAAATAGCAATTTTTTATAAATAAATAAATTTTTTCTTAATTTGAATACGACTTTTTAAAAATTTTTTCTTTTATTAAAATGTACTTGGAAAGATTTTACAAAAGTGTTTAGTGTAGGCCTGTTAAAGCCAATTGTTTAAATAATTTGTTTAAAATTGTTTTTATCTCTTTTCTAAATTTTTATAACACAATTTTTTTTTTTATTTGGCAGAATTATTTACTTAACTCATGGAAAAGTAATTTGTAATAAACTTTTATTTGAAAAATTAGAAAAATAGTGGAATAAAAAAATGTTTTGTTTATTTAAACAAATTGGTTCATCAGGCCAACTTTAAAAATTGTTGCAAAATCTTTTTAGTGTTTCCAAGTATATTTCAAAAGAAGAAAATTTAAAAAATCGTAACCAAATTAAAAGAAATGGATTTGTTTATGAAAAATTACTATTTTTCTATAAAAAAAAAAAACATTCAGAAGTAGAAGAAAAACTGACATTTTTTTTCCTGGCAAAAATTTATGTTTTCAAAAAAAGTGCTGCAATGAAGAAAACTAAAATTTTTGAAAATTCGTAATTCAAAAATTCGTCCACTTTCTAAACATCCAAAAAATACTGTTTTTTCTCTAAAGAATAGAAAAAAAATATATATTTTAACGAATTTAAGAGTTTGACTCGTGAAATCGACCATATATACAGCGATTAAGATCCAAGAGGCAAATTAACAAGAGCGATTGGCATCAGTGGACGAGATGCCCCGGAAGCGGAAATGGAGATTCGCAGTCTCGCGCCAATCTATGCGACGAAGTGAACCGAGTAAAACCGAAGTCATAAGGACGAAGGATATGATCGATGAAACATGTCGACGACCTTCTATCCTACAATTTCTCTGAATTCTATAAATGCAAATTTTTTAAATTCATCACATGCAAAGCAACGTGTTGAAATGATGTATAATATAAATATACGCATACACGCGCGTTTATTCACATCTAAGAAAAATGAAATAAAAAAAAAAGGTTTCAAAACAAAATTTCTTGTTTCGTTTTTTAAAACTTTTTTTTTTTCATTTGATGTCCATTCAAAAGAAGGAGGGGGAGCACGTACTAAAAACCTACAAGTTGAAAATATCGAGGAAGAATGTTTTTTAAAGAAAATTGTGCATTTTATCGCTTTCCATATTTTTCCAATTTGTCAACGAGTCACGTGTTCAACGAAAATCATATATTTCGTTCAAGAAAATCACTGACAGGTGAATTTTCCGAAAATTAATAGTAATCTTTTTTTGAGGAGACAGTTTTATTATCTTGTTGAAAAACGACCTTTTACGGGAATTTTTTTTAACATTTTTCGAATTTTTTTTTTTTTTTAATTTAAATAATTATTCCTTTTATTTTATAATGCATTTCTCACTTGTTAATTATTTTTTATATTGAAAAAAAAAATTTATTGTTTATTTTATTAAAAAAATTTTTATATTGGAAAAAAAATTTTAATTTTCTCATGATTATTATTGACGATTGTGATTTTTGTGTATTTTTGTTTATTAAATTCAACTGTTGCATAAATTAATTAAATGAAAAGCTTTATAATGAAAGGCAAATCTTCTGATAATGATGGGATAATTTTGAAATCTTCAGTTAATAGGAGAATCAATTTTAATAATGAATTTTATCTTTTGTAAATGGATGCGCGATGCTATATACTATTGATTTTATTTGATTAGAAACAGTGTTTAAAAAAATTAGCATAGAATTTTCAATCAAAATTAATATTTATTTTGTTTATCAAATTCTCTTATTTGAAAACAAAAATTTATTTGACTATTTAATTACTATTTTTAATTTTTTAATTTTTAATTACTATTTACGTGATTATTATTAAATAAATATTTATTTGTAACAAATAATTTTTATTTGAATTAAATAAACTGTATTTAAATCAATAATTTCTGTATTTGAAATAAATACCATTTAATTGAATCAAATAATAATTATTTAATGTAAATAAATATTTATTTGATAATAGTCAAGTAACCGATTATTTGAATCAAGTAAATATTTTTTTTTAGAGAATTAAATAGAAAAATTTTTTTTGTCACACGAGAAGAGGATTTTAGAAGTGAATTAATACTATCTAGTCAGACATTAATTAAGTGAAAATCAGTGAAGAAGTTCAATTTAGTTAAGACACAATATAGTGAGAGGAAATTTACTCAAGTAGAAAACCATCAAAATAATTTATCTCACAGTGAGGTTTTAATATTTGGATTTTTGATCCAAGTAGAAAATTCTGTTACAGTCAGACAATATAAAACTGAAATTATTAAAATAAAAAACCGCAGAGAGTAAA